AATGAATTTGGATTATTTAAAATACAATAAAAAAGATGTCTTTCTAATTAGAATCCATTTGTCTAATTAATGAACTCAATTCTTTTTAAATTTTATTTACTAGAATATATATTTTTAGACATCATCTAATCATTGTCTTAAATACATATTTGCATTATATAAAAAAATATTTATATAATTTAAACATGAGTACACTAAAAAACACAAAAATCAAACAATGCTTATAGCCACATGAAACTCTTTGGCAATGTCAACCTTAACAAAAAAGTCAATACAAAAATTCTTTGACTCGGCTACTTGTATGGTCTGGGTTTCAAATTAGATCATGTAAAGATTAATCTGATGTAACCTGGTCAACTTAATGGGTTCAAAGATGAGCCAAATGACCAAGCAAAACTCAATTTGACAAAAAATAAAAATAAAAATTCAAGATGCCATCTTTTTTTAAAAAAAAATATTAAGACACAATATCTCAATTCGGCCCAAGTCAACCCCAGCTGGTTGACCTCTTAAACCAATAACCTAGATCATGGATTTAGCTAAGTTTAATGATTTTTTAAAACTATTTTTTTGTTAAATTGTATGATAACAAAAATTTTATAACAAAACAACTATTTTTTTTTTTAATTTCAATTGTGATGGGTTGCACAAAAAAATGTTTACCACTATTGAAAATAGATTCCTATAATCTTATTCAAAAACATATTAAAAATTAAATGGTATTTAATAAAATAATATCTAAATATATTCTTAATTTGTTTAAGAATTTAATAAAATAATATACATGGTGTATTTTTAATTTATTATTTTTTTAAAAATTACATCTAAAGTAATAGAAAAAGACCAAGAAAAAGTTTAAGCACAGTACTCCTAAATCTTTTATTTTTAATAACCTGGGTAGAATCCACCTAATTCTTTTTTTTTTAAAAAAAAAAATAGAGTATACATCATTTGCTTGTCTAGAGTTAGACCACCATACAGGCTGCTAAAAATTAAGTTAATTTGTTTTACACTTTAATCATTTTTTATTGAATTTTATCTTTTTCTAACCAATTGGTCATAAAAATATTATAATTGAAAATAAAAAAAAAAGTTGAGAATGAAAATTGGAAAGAATTATAAATATTGTACATTATTACAATAAAAAATGTTATATTTGAAAATAATTTAGCCACAACCCAATATTCCCGTCTCCTAGCAGCCAACATTCGATACATCACAAAAAATTACATGACACAAACATAATAGGCTTAGATTAAAGAAGCTCAAATATTTAACAAGTAAAAATAAAAATAAATATGAGGTTACAAGGGAAGGAGTTGATACATCTCTATAATTTAATAAAACTCATTAATTGATCCTTGTAGTATCAAAAACATATATTTAATTCTTATCTTTTTCAATCTATCTTGTTTTCTTTTTTAAAGAATAAAAAAAAGTTTGATTAGATGGTATTACGGGGAATATCTTGATGAGCTAATATATATAAAAGAGGTGAAAAATAAGAAAATGATTCATTATCTAATTTTATGGTAACTAGAAACTTTAAATGATATTTAAAATTATTTGGATAAAGTGTTGGTTATGCTAAAAAAATAAAAAATCACTCCAAAATATCACAACTAAAGTAAGCTACTTTATATTTGTTTTTAATAATTAAATGTATCTTGTACTTATATGATAAAGTTTTGCATAAACTAATATAATGTGTGTTTACTTATTGATGGCAAATGGTTTCTAAAACCCAAAACAATGATTTGGGATCCAGAGCTAGAAATAGATTTATTCCTCACTTTAGGATGTATGTGATTTAAAAAAATAGTAAATAATAAATTAAGCTTCAATCCATTTCCTTCTATTACAAAAATTGTGTTGTATCTTAAAAAAAAAAAGTGATGTCCTGACTTTACGAGCACAAAATCCTTACAGGGATTTTACCATCTTTAGGTCAATGCTTTGATAAAATCTTATATATTTTGTTTTAAACCATGAAATTTCAATTTAATGTGATCCAAGCAATACCAAGAGATTTATTAAAAATTTCAATTGTTCTAGTGACAAGACTTAAAGTTAAAAGGTTTAAAGAGACATTCAATGAACCTCTTCAAAACACATGAGTTAAGATGGACTTAAAAATAATACTAAATAATAAAGAACTTAAAAATGATACTAAATAATAAAGAACGAGCCTTGATTAATTTAATTTATATTCAAAAAGAGTTTGTTAATAGGCATTCAAATATTACAAAAAAAATGTAATAAAAAGTTTTAAATTTGTTAATTTTGATCTTTTTAATATTTTAGTCATAACTAGAGTTACAAAACAATTTTTAATGTAATTTAAGTTGAATTGAAAAAAAAAATCCATATCTTTCCATTTTCATATAGAACACTTTCTAATTCATTAAAACGAGAAAAAAATGCATTAGGGCCTTCATTTAAATTTGGAAAAAAAACAATCATATCTTTTCATTTTTATGCGATTCAAGTTGAATTAGAAAGATTTTGCCAACAGATTAACAAAATAACTTTAGTCTTATTTAAATTAGTTAGGCTATTGTTTTATTTATCTTTTAGCTCTTATTATGTTTTTTAGACATATTAAGGCTTTTATTTAAATTTGGGTTCATTGTATTGTTGTTGTTGTTATTTTTATTTTTTACTAGATTTATCCATATCCATTAGAGATATCCTATTACACTTGAAATTCTTTATAGTATAAATACTTTTTTGTAAAGACTTTTAAAGTTAGACTATTTTTAACAAAAAAAAAAGGCATTCTTATTATCTTTTATGTGGTTAAGTGATTCTCATACTAAGTTCTTAATTGAATTTGCAAACTCTTCAAATGATTGATCAATATTGTTGTGTCTTTATACTACTCGTTTATGTCTCTTTACAGGCATGAGGTTAAGGTGATCATGACATGTAACTTTGGTTTTTCAAAGCACGTTCTTGTTGGTTAAGTTGCAAACCCTTTAAATTTGACTTCTAACGTATCTTGAGAGATGTTCGCATCACATCTTGTTGGGAACCCTTTTTAAAGATCATACCACTCACACGTTAATTTTTTGAAAAAATATAATTTTTATTTACATTTTTTTTTGAGAAAATAAGATTATGTTTTTTAGACGACAAAACTTAATTTCTCATGGAACAACCCTTTTCAAGAATTATACCATCTAGAAGTTGATTTTTTAATAAAAACAATTTTATTGATACATCTTTTAGCAAAATCAAAATCATTTTAGCTAAATCAAAATCATACTTGTTAAAATTTAATTTTTAAAGGCAAAACTTATTTAAGGATTATACCATTCTCAAGTTCATAAAGATAGATAGACATTATATGAAGAAAACCTATAAAAAAGCAAAGTTTCATAAAAATCCCATTAACATCCATATGTAAAAGAAAAATGGAATGCACATTACAAATAATTCAATGCAACCTAATTAATTCAAACAAGTATAACCTAATGCTAACATCATATACCACATTAAAATTAATGGCATAGAAACAAATACATATTTGTGAATAAAAAATTAATAAATATGTTACAAATTATTCTCAAAACTAGTAAATTACATATTAAGGTTTAAAATTGACCTTTATAAGTCATTGAAGTTGGTTTAAACTATATTGAAGCTGTTAAAATAGAGAAAAATAATAACGACACATAGGCTACATGCTTAAACAAACAAGTTGGACTGTAGAGCATTGTTGCACACTTGAACAAGTTAAGGAGGCGTCTGGACTTGTGGGTTAATTACTTCACTTTTTCTCCTTCCACACTATAGAGGTGATGTAGCCCATCTCCTTTGACAAATAAGTTTCTATTATTGTTTTTATCTTTTTTAACACTATGTTGCAGAATTTTATAAATGAAGAGAGATTGCCAAGTCAATATATTTTAATGAGTTTTAGTGATGATTTAGTGAGGATTTAACTAGAGATAATATATAATGTTGTTGTGAGTGTGTTTGTTGTTTGAGCAAAGATAGAGATTGACAACTTGAAGATTTTGGTGACTAGGGTTTTGTCTCCTTCGTGATACTTCTTTTATTTTCTTTATCTATTAGGGTTTTTTTTTTTGGATAAGTTTTCTCCATGCAAGAGGTGACTAGGGTTTTGTCTCCTTCGTGATACTTCCTTTATTTTCTTTATCTATTAGGGTTTTTTTTTTGGATAAGTTTTTTCCATGCAAGAGTTTTCCACTTTCATCCTTATATATATATATATATATATTATCTAGAATCCTTTATGTAAAACTAAATTGAAAAAAAAGTACGTTAGAAATTTTTTTATTGCTTCCTAATTAATTAAATTTTATTTTACTAATGTGTAAGATCTCCTCCCTATGAATTTTCAATTTTGTTTGGTTCTTTTATTTATTTTTATTTTTCTCTTTTGCACAATCTTTTTATTATATTTTTTAGTCCCTATTCATTTAGTTCCCTTTTCTTTCTTGCTTCTTATTTCATTCCCTAAATTTTTTATTTTTTTCTTTATTATTTTTATTTTTATTTACCTATCTTATCACACAAGACAAAACAAATGAAAAATAAAAATAAAAAATTGATTGAGCTTTATTGAAAAAATATATATATTTTTAAGAAATTTTTTTTTGAAAACACATGAAACAAATTGATGGTAAAAAATAAGTTACGATGGAAAAAATTCAAGGCATATTTAGAATAATAATAAAAAAAACTAAAGTGAACATACTAAATATTGTTTTAAAATTTATTTAAAATTTTTTAAAGGCATGTTTTGAAATGTGATAAATATTATTTATTTAAAAATATATTAAAATAATATATATAATATATAATTTTTTTTAATATTTATATATTAAAACAATTTAAAAATATTAACATGAAGATAAAAAATCATTTTTTAACGGAAAAACAGTTTAAATACCCATAAGACTACAGAGATTAATTAATTAGCTTCATAAAACAGGGTTAAGTTATGATTAAATCACAGGGAAAGATTCCATACTGTCATTGACGAGGAGCACGTGGAAAAGTGGAAGCCCAAAGCGAGCAAAATCAGATGGCAATCTTGGGACTTAAACATTCTTTGTCTCTAACAGTTTGGTTCATGCAAAAATCTTTGTCTTCTCTCACACTCTCCTCTCCTTTGCGTTATATTCCTTTCTTTACCTTTTGCAGGCAGCATTGCTCACCATCACCGTTGTTAACGTTTTGATGCGCTAGTAGATAATAATAATACCCATGGGAGCTCAAAAGAGCATCCATGCTGGCAAAGGTCAGTATTGAAATTCGGTTCTTGATTTTTTTTTTCTTTTTCTGGGAATTTTATTTTGTCGTTGTTGATTGTGGATTTTTATATGTTACAGCCAAGATTGATGTGAATGTTGATTTTACTCACAAGCTATGTGCTTCTTTGATGCTTCCTTCTCTAAGGTTCTTTTCTTTGTATTATCCATTTCTTTGATTATTAATTCCGAGTAACTGCCACATCTCTCTCTCACTCATTCACTGACTCTCTTTCATGTAAAACTGCAGGAACACTGGAAGCCCTCTTTCTCTGATAATTGGGAGGTTGGTCTTTTCCTTTATAACCTTTGCCATTTCGTTTATTGGTTACCAAGTTTTTTTCTATGGTTTTTTTTTTTTTTGCTTCTAGTATGAATTTTCTTTGTTTGGTTACTGAGAAAATTGTGGGAAGAAAAGGAAATATTGTTAAAGTTTTTGAATCTTTCTATGTAATTGAATTCAAGAAAAAGATGGGTTTTGTTCTTTAACTATGTTTTGTGGACCAGAGAAATGCAAAACAAAATTTACACTCTTT